TAAAGATTATCCCCCGGGGCTAGCCTGACCCCCGGGCATTTTATGGCACATATTCCCTTATTAATTAATAAAGAATAAACTTCTTACTATTTGCTTCTCTTCTTGTTATTTCATGACTAGACCTCACAATAACCTTGTCTAAGTAAACAAAAAGAAAAAGAAGAATAAAAAGTGCATCCAAGTAAACAAAACTTGCCTTTGCCATTACAATCAAGCTAGTTGATTAGAAGCACAAAATAAGGTTTTACCTCACAAAAAGTCATGCTTCGCTAATATTGTGAAAAAAATAATAACAAAAAAAGAAAAAGCCCATAGAAGCCAAAGGCGAAAAGAAAAAGGACAAAATACCCGGTAGGAAACCCACTAAGGGGGCTACGCAAAAAATAGGGTCAACCCGATAGGATACCTGAACAAAAATAAAGGGTAGCCTAGGCAAAAGTTAGAGTTACAAAATAAGGTCCGCTAGGATTCCCTAAACAAAAAAAAAGGAACCTAGACAAAAGATAGGGTCAAAACACAATATCCTAGTTTGAAAACCCAAAGGGCGATCTAGGGAAATCAACTAGCCATAAAAAGCAATGGAAATAAGCTAAGGCGCAAATACGAGAGAGGAAACGTTTGCTTAGACAAAAGCTTAAACACCTAGGCCTAACCTTAGCCAACTATTCTTACAAAAACCTTTTTCAAAAAGAATTAACAGTCTAAAACACAAGCCATTGAATTTTCCCTCTTACTTCTTTTCTCTTGATCCTCACAACATTATTCTAATAATTAATTTGGGAATATGGAGGCATATAGTCAATAAGAGGATTGAAATCCCTAAAGTGAAGAAAAAGGGACACTGACATGGCAAAGGGTGCTCTAAAAAAATATATAGAAAAAGAAAAAGCAAAGGAAAAGAAAGAAAGAAAGATCAAATTATTCTTCGGTCACAAGAAGTCTGGAATGGTACAGCCAAGTACAAGAACGCAGATCAGAGGATACTCGTCGTTACAAGACACGTCAGTTAACTCCTTCTGAAAAACTAATTAAAATAGGCATTATAGGACATCAAACATGAAAACATTGCATGCATAAAATGTTTTTGAAACAAGTCCTATTTCCTTAAAAAAAAAAAAGAAAATCTCTCAGAATCGAGACGACCGTCTCGCATTTCCAGACCGCCGTCTTGATCTTCAGTAAAACGAGACCGCCGTCTCGACCAACGAGACCGCCGTCTCAACTTGGCTAAAAACGAGACCGCCTTCTCGCTTGGCGAGACGGCCGTCTCGCTTAAGGCCAAAGTCGAGACCATCGTCTCGAGGTTCCAGACGGGCGTCTCGACTTGCACGAAATCGAGACCACCGTCTCGACTTCCCAGACGGCGGTCCCGAATCTGAAAAAATTTCTATAAATAGAGGGGGGCCTAGGGGGGTCTTCACACCTCCTCTTGCACTCCCACTCTCCATTCTCTCACTCTCAAGCACCCTACTGTCAAGATGCACCGTGGAGATCAGTCTAGGAAGAGAAGAGGCTCTGCCGGCCCTAGCAGCTCCTCAGCTCCCGCTCCGCAGGACCCCACGCAGCTTTCACCAATGCACCAGGCCCGCTTAGAACACATCCGGGGGTACACATGGCACCCCATGCTAATGTTGGATTTCGGCATCCTCACCGAATTCGGTTGGGAAGATGACGTCCGGGCCCACATCGACAGCATAGGGTGGGGCTTCCTCTTGCAGTCTCCACCTACCCACGTCTACCCCCAGGCGGTGCTAGAGTTCCTCGCCTCCATCTCCTACGCCGAGACTCCCGCCATGGTACCAGGTCTGTCACAAATAAAAATGGTGACATACTTCATGGGTGGGATGTACCGGACCACCACCCTGGAGGAATTCAACGTGTCCATCGGATTCGTCCAGCCTGAGGACGTGCTGACTCGGGACTACCAGGAGGCTATCTGCGCACGCCCCACCAACCTCACTGCCGGCAAGATGTGGGAAGAGCTGACTGGGGCACACACCCTGCCCACACCAATGAAGGGCTCCACACTTCCCCCAGCCCTCCGCATCTGTCACAAGTTGCTGGCTAAGACTATCCACGGGCGGAAAGAGAGTCAGGGAGAGGTAACCCTTCCGGACCTCTTTGTCCTTTACTGCATGAGCCAGAGGCGCCGGTGCAACCCTGGCTATTTCTTCCTGAAGGCCCTTAAGGACTTCGGGAGTCGGCCCGTGGGAGCCATCCTCATGGCTCCCCTCATTACCCCCCTGGCAGAAAAATGGGGGTGCAGTGGCAGGGAGGAACTGGCCTCCAGCCTCCGACCCAAGACTATCAACGGGTCGGTCCTAGTCAGCATGGGGATGATGCTACACCAAGGGACCCGGCTGATCCTCCACCCCTTACTGGATATCGCTTTGGATCTCCGAGATCTCATAGCAATGCATGATCTCCCGACACCTCCCAAGTTCCAACAACAGCAGCAACAACAACAACAACAACAGCAACAGTACATGGACGATTTTGTTGGCATCAACCGCAACATCTACGATTTGCGCCAGCAATTCGACCAAATCTCTATGCGACAAGAGCAGATATCCCTAAGGCAAGATGCCTTCGACACAAGGCAGGAGGCATTCGCCCAATATCAAGAGGGAATAAGGCAAGACCTGGCGGCATTCCGGAAGGAGTACATTGACGAAGCCCGGGACCAGGCAGAGTTCCGAAGGCATATGTACTGGCAGTTCCCCTCTTATGGATCGTCTCTAGACACGAGTCCACCGCCTTAGGGATAGGGCTTAGAAAATAAAATTGTTGTAATAAATTTTATCATCAATAAAATTTTAGTTCATTCATTTTGCTTTCCCTTTCAAAAAAGAGTCAGCGTAACAAAAAAAGAAGCTAAGAGAAAAAAGACTTACGCTCAAAAAAGCCAAAATCCAAAATCGCGAGAAAAAAAAGATAAAACCGTGGAAAAAGACAGGATTAAAACAAAGTTAATCATCTTGACCAACAACTTTTCGACAACCAAGCAAGAGTCGAATATCAAAAAGATTACCTGACAACCAGCAAAGTCGGATGACCACCAAAAGATCAAAATAAAAAATCCCCAGCAACCAACAAGCTGGATGAACACCCACAGAGTCCCTGACACAGACCGAACGACCAATCTCAGAAAAGACAAAAACAAGAAAACACATCTCAACACTCGGCGCATGAGCTAGAGCAGTAAGCCGCCACCACAGCCAAAAGATCAGCCACCGCAAGAATGAGCATCTGGAGGCACAACACCAGATGGGGGTGTATACTCATCAAGCCTTACAAAAAGGGGCTTATCGGACGGGGGTTCATACTCGTCAAACACCAGATGGGGGTGTATACTCATCAGGCCTTACAAAAGGGGGCTTATCAGGCGGGGGTTCATACTCGTCAAACCAGATGGGGGTTCATACTCATCAGCTGAAAGGATCAGCTACAGCCAGAAAGAGCATCCTGGAAGCGCACCTTTCCCCAAAAGATCAACCGCCCCAAAGATAGGACATCTGAAGGGCAGCCGGGCAGGAGGGTCAACTCCTTTACCCTTCAGTCGATCTTCTTGGCACAACAAGCCAGGAGTCGACTAGTCGGGTAAAGGTGGGCAGCTGTAGACCCATAATCTTGCCCGACCTCATAATAAGACCAGAAGACCTCCTTTTCGAAGATGGATGAAGCCTAAGAAACCATTAGGAGAGACTATTAGGCCCCATACTAGGATAGGAGGGATTTTCTGCATAAAAATAAGGATTTTCGCCTTCAGAGGTTGAGACCGTTGTCTCGCCTTGCGAAAGTGGCAAGACCGCCGTCTTGCCACCTGTGAATGGCGAGACCCTCTTCTCGTTTAGCGAGACGGCCTTCTCGCCATTTTTGTGAGGCGAGATGGCCATCTCGAATGGCGAGACGGCCGTCTCGACCTTGTCAGACGAGATGGCCGGTCGAGACGGCCGTCTCGACCTGACAGGCGCGAATCCCTATAAATAGTCGCGCTTTCACCCTCATTTCACACAATTCTTCGACTTTCTCTCTTGTAACCTCTCTTAATTCTCTTCCTAGAACCCCTCCGAAGCATTTCCAGAGTTTCTGAGAGTTTCTTAGAGATTTTATAGCGTTTCTGAGAGTTTTTTCGGCGTTGTAAAGAGTGAAGGGCTGCCAAAAGGCACCCTAAATTTCAAGAAATTAATCAAAGAGCTTGCTTCGGAGGTTTCTTCTCCCTCTCTATCTCTTTATTGCTTTCATTATTGTGATTACATTACGTAATAGATATTAGGGCCATGTAGTCATTCTTTTAATTCTGCAAATAAAAGGGTAAAAGCATCTTTTCATAAGTTTATTTATTAAAATGGTTGGGCTATCATAGGGAACTCGAAAGGGGCGTCATAATGGAACTAATACTTCCCTTACGCGTAACTAACTCCCTTACCTAAACTCTGGTTTTAATGACCAAAGCTAGTTTTCGAAAACTAACGCCTTTTTATTCCTTTTTCGATGTTTCCAGTAAAAACATCGGTGGCGACTCCATAAGAACCCTTCAAAATTAGTTCTTGGGTTAACCCGGTTATCGGACAATCCAAGAACACTCTTTCGAAAATTTCGCCTCTAGGTTTAGCCCGGTTATCGGACAACCTAAAGGCATTGTAACCACACCCATGAAAACGTGAAAACCAAAAGTCGAAACCATCGCGTCGCTCTGACCGCCTCTTTTTGACGGCGGTGACAGGGCTGACTGATTTCTATTCTAGGTTGCACATAATTCATTGGGTAAGTTCTGTCAAACATCACCAAACCAATGGACAGGCGAAGGCCGTCAACAAAGTAATTTCACAAGAGCTAAAAGGGAGGCTCGAGCAAAAAGGGGAGATGGTTCGAGGAACTCTTGGAAGTCTTGTGGGCATATCGCTGCACTCCTCAATCCACCACGAGAAAGACCCAATATAACCTCACTTACGACGTGAATTCTATAATGTAGGTTGAAATTGGCAAATGATCATTACGTCGAGAATTGTTCGACTAACAAGAGAATGAGCAAAGCATGAAAGGAGAGCTGGATCTTGCATAAGAAAGAAGAAACCAGGTAATGATCTGGGAAGCTCCTTATAAGTAACAAATACCACGAAAGTACAACTCGAAGGTCTAATCAAGATATTTTTGCCAGGGTGTCTTAGTGGTACGAGCGAGGGGATGTGCCAAATAGGAGCTGACAGTGGGAAAGCTCTTGTCTAATTAGGAAGACCCCTACATAGTAATAGAGGATTTAAGATTAAAAAGAGAGAAATATTTTTATAGGGGTTAATCACACCACTCTCATGATCTCATATATATAGATTCAGATAGGTTCAACTCATAAATTACATTTAAATTCAACTACTACCAATTTGTATTAATTCTAACAACCACCTGTAATACTTCTAATAGCCACCTATCTGCAGTAATTCTAACAACCACATATATGCAGTAATTCTAACACTCCCCTCAAGTTGGAGGATACAAATTGTATGTTCCAAGCTTGAAACAACAAAATTCAATCTGAGGTCCCCTTAAGGATTTGGTTAGCATATCTACAAGTTGATCATTAGAAGCAACATACTCCATGCATATCCCTTTAGACAACAACTTCTCTTGAATAAAATGACAGTCAATATCTATATGTTTATTTCTCTCATGAAATATTGGATTAGAGGCAATGTAGAGAGCAGTTTGGTTATAACAATACATCTTCATTGTTTGGATATTACAAAAGTTGAGCTCTTGAATGAATTGTTTCACCCATATAAGTTTACAAGTAAGAGAAGTCATTGCCCTGTATTAAGCTTTTGCAGTAGATTAGACTACAATAATATTTCCAAGAAATAATATTTCCTCTAAGGAAAATACAATATTCTGTAGTAGAATGCCTGTTAGTGGGGGATCCTGCACAATCAACATCACAATATCCAAAGATTTTGGAATCTCCTTTATCTTAGTATAGTAAACCTTGTCCTGGGGCCTTTTTGAGGTACCTTAGAATTAGAATAATAGCATTCCAATGGTCAGTACAAGGAGCTTGCATAAACTGACTTACAACACTCATTGCAAGAGAGAGATCAGGTCTAGTGATAGTCAAATAAATAAGTTTCCTAACCAGTCTTCTATAACTTTCTGGTTCAAAGAACAATTCACCCTATTGTGTCATTAGCTTTTAATTTGGGTCCATGGGACTGTCTACTAGTCTAAAGTCAATCATGTATTTAAGACATACTTTCTTTAAGAGATAATAACTCCTTCTTTTGACAAAGCTACTTCAATTCCCAATAAATATTTTAGGCTTCCAAAATCCTTAGTTTGAAAGTGATTACTGTAGACCCCTAATTTTGACGGCCTCTCAATAAAGGCTAAGAAGACTTCCTATATGAAGATAAAGCTTCGATGGACGTCTATCGGTATCAATCGACTTTCGAATAAAGAAAGGAAAGCTTCTCGGAAGTCCTAGAACACAAAATCTGGCCAGAACAGTCGAGATGGTCGCCCCAGAAGTCGGGATGGCCGTCCCAGCCAGCCCAGACGGCCGTCCCACATGCCAGACAGTCGTCTTAGCCAATTTGGTGCTTGGGATGGCCGTCCCAAGTCCCAGATGGCCGTCCCGGCCTCCCCAGACGCCCATCCTGGTTTTCCAGACCCCAGACGACCGTCCCGAGCTGCCAGGCTGCGAAAACTATAAATAGGAAGTTCATTTGCCACTTTTTCACACTCCACACACTTGTCTTCTCTCCCTCTGTTGAATGAACTCTTTGATTGCCTAAAAAAGGTAACAATCGGTTAAGGAATTGTATTCCAGCATTCGATTCTTCTTAAAATTTTAGTAGAGTCGATCTTGTATTCGGGGAGGAGAGTCTTTGTAGAGCGGGGGGATTGCCAAAACGCATCCTCACAGTTAAAGATTTGCAATACAAAGCTTGCTACGGAGGTTCTTTTCAATTGTCTTCTCCTTTATTGCTTTATTTATTGCTTTATGTATGCAATAGAAAATAAAATCATGTAGATAGCCATTTTTAAATATTGTATGAATAAAATAGGGTAATAGCGTAATTTCTCGTAATCTTTACTTAATGAATTAATCCGTCATAGGGAACCCGAAAGGGGCGTTGTGGGGTGCTAACACCTTCCCCATACGTAACTAACTCCCTTATCCAACTCTGGTTATAATGGCCAAGTTTGGTTTTTATTAAAATCAACGCCTTTTTATCCTTTTCCAATGTTTACGGTTAAAACATTGGTGGCGACTCCATAAGAACCCTTTTGCGAAAACCTTGCTTTTATTAGAGGATAGTTCAGTTGTTGAGCATCTCGGAAGCAATGAACACATTTAAAAATAAAACGCGAGTCTAAACCATCTTTTCGCGACTGCTCGCATAAACGTTCGAGATGTCCCTAGACGTCGGAACGGACGGCAGCGACAGATGGCGACTCCACTGGGGAAGCTAGAGAGTTGATCCCATTTAGTGACGGATAAAATTCAAACTAAGTAAAAATTTGAAATTACGCCTTTACCCTCTTCCGTATGTTTTATTGTATGGCTTTAATAACTGTTGTATGATTATTTTCTGCAAATTGTCTGAAATATAAATTGCACACAAAAACCCTTGCACACAACAGTATCTCTATACCCGGGGGCAAGAGTGAATACCTATAGGGAGTGGGTGGCAGATACGACGGGCTTGTTGGCACACGGGGCTATAACCGTTGTCGGAAAACCACCAACTCAAGGTGATAACTATCTTCTTTTGGTCCAAGGATGTCGACACGGAGTTTCGTGCATGGCTCAAGGATTGAGAGATTGAGAGGTCCCTATAATGGGGGCACCTTGGGGACATTTGGCCTTGGTGAGAACAGTTTAGAACCGCCTAAACCAAGCACGTTTCTGCAGGAAAACCCTACCTCAAAAATAGCGAGGCTCTGCTCGTGGATGAATGAATTGTGTGTACATTCGTTTGCTGCATTTGTATTGATGCATTAACATAGGGTAATCATACAACAGACGAAAATAGTGAAAAATCCTAAAAAACCATAAAAGTGATAAGAATAAACCAACTTTATCTCGGACAGTCTTCAGTTAAGCTAGCCTAGTTTCAGGTTCTTTGTAAGCTAAGTAGTCACATTGACCGACAGAAGAGATAAAGGGTCATAAAAAACATAAAAACAATTCAAACCCATAAAAATGTCTTTTATAATAAAAAGATTCTTGACTGTAGACCCCTAATTTTGCCCGGCCTCTCAAAATAAAAGCTAGAGGAACTCCACCCGAAGATGGGGTTCATCCGGCTTCCCAAAACGAGAAGGACCTCCCACAACAAAAGACGGAGTTCATTCATTCACACAATAAAAGCCAAAAGAGACTTCCTACACAAAGACAAAGCTCGCCCGACATCTTAATGAAGGCCAAGAAGACTTCCTATATGAAGATAAAGCTTCAACGGACACACATCAGCATCAATCTACGTCCGAAAACGGCAAGGAAAGCTTCCCGGGGTCCCAAAACGCGAAAACTGGACAAAACAGGCCGAGACCCACGGTCCCAAAAGTGGGACGGCCGTCCCAACTGCCATTTTACAGTTGGGACGCGCGTCCCGAATGTGGGACGGCCGTCCCAAACCCAATTTAAGTGGGACGGTCGTCCCGACTTCCCTGGGGGTCCCGTTCTGTGTAAATTTGCCATTTGGGACGGCCATCCCAGTCCAGACGGCCGTCCCAACCCAGACGGTCGTCCCAAAGTGCGCCAGCTGCGAAAAACTATAAATAGGAGGCTCATTTGCCACTTTTTCACACCACAAACACTCCAGAGAGCTCCGAAACACTTTAGAGCACTTGTCTACTTCTCTCTCTCTCTCGAATGATCTTTCCGATTGCCTTAAATAGGTAACAATCGGTTAAGGAATTATATTCGGCATTTGATTCTTCTTTAAATTTTTAGTAGAGTTGATCTTGTATTGGTGAGGAGAGACGTGTAGAGAGAGGGTTGCCAAAACGCATCCTCACGGTTCGAGGTTCTCAATATAAAGCTTGCTACGGAGGTTCTTTTCAATTCCCTTCTCTTTTATTGTTTTATTTATTGTTTTATTGTTTTATTTAGCTTTATTATGTCATGAAGAATAGGATCATGTAGATAGCTATTTTAATATCTCTTTTATTGCTTTATTTAGCTTTATTCATCATTTTATACATGCAACATAGAATAAAATCATGTAGATAGCCATTTAATATTATGTAATAAAATACGGTAATCGCGTAATTTCTCGTAGTCTTTATTTAAATGAATTAATCTGTCATAGGGAACCCGAAAGGGCGTTGTGGGGTGCTAACACCTTCCCCACACGTAACTAACTCCCTTACCCAACTCTGGTTATAATGGCCAAGTGCGGTTTTTCTTAAAATCAACATTTTTTCCTTTTCCAATGTTTATGGTCAAAACATTGGTGGCGACTCCATAAGAACCCCTTTTCGAAAACCTTTTAAAACAAAAACGCGAGTCTAAACCATCTTTTCGCGACCGCTCGCATAAACGTTTCAAGATGTCCCCCGGACGTCGGATGGGACGGCGACGACGGATGGCGACTCCATCGGGGAAGCTAGAGAGTTGATCCCATTTAGTGACGAGATAAATTCAAACTAAGTAAAGATTTGAAATTACGCCTTTACCCTTCGTATGTTTTTTATTGTATGGCTTTAAATAAGCTGCCGTATGATTATTTCGCAATTGTTTGAAATATAAATTGCACACAAAAACCCTTGCACACAACGAGTCCCTCTATACCCGGGGCAAGAGTGAATACCTATAGGGAGTGGGTGGCAGATACGATCGGTTAGTTGGCACACGGGGCTACTACCGTTGTCGGAAAACCACCAACTCAAGGTGATAACTCTCTTCTTTTGATCTAAGGGTGTCGCCACGGAGTTCCGTGCATGACCCGAGGATTGAGAGATTGAGAGGTCCCTATAATGGGGGCACCTTGGGGACCTTTGGCCTGGTGAGAACAGTTAGAACCACCTAAACCAAGCACGTTTCGCAGGAAAACCCTACCTCGTGATTAAATAAGCGTGGCTCGCTCGTGGATGTATGAATTGTGTGTACATACGTTTGCTGCACTTGTATTGATGCATTAGCATAGGGTAATCATACAACAAAAAAAAATGAAAAAACAAGTTAAAATCATAAAAATACCTTTATTATAAAATAAAAA